TCAATTCTTAAAATCGCTGTCTCTCTCCATTAGTAGATAGCATAGTTATTAATATAGGATAACAAATAGACAAACATGCAATGTATTGCGCAACTAGGCGCGTTGTTAAGAAGCCTAAAAGTAATAATAATAAAAAATAACATCAACTTAAGTAATATGTTACCTACATTGAAACATAGCAACAATATGTAATGTTAACATTCTCGAATTCAGAATATTTTCAACATCTCCAACTATTTAAGTATCCTATTTTTGCAGCATACTTACAAGATCTAGTTTAAACGTTATTTCCAAGTTGTAGAGCTTAAAGTTTGAACTTTACCACGTCTACAGCTTAGAGCCCGAGTTGTAAGTTATTTACTTCGTCACTGAAATACTTTAAACAACTTAATACCGAGCGTCTACTTTGTAAAGGAAACTGAACTATTTGAAAATTCGTTTATTTATCTTCACTAAATAGTGCACATGTTTATAGTTAAATATGTACATATGTACATTAATATACAGGAATAATATAAAGAGGATAGATTTGTTTTTTATATTTTTGTAATGATAATCTATATGTTAGGTATGCTAGATATTTAAGACTCATAATTTAAGTATTGACATTGTAGTAAACATAAAATGAAATAAACGTAAAGAATAAAAATTTATAAAATAACTTATTCAGTAATAATAAGGATGTACATTATCTTATTTAGTGCACAAAATACATGTAATTTATTTCTTAGATATTATTCTTCCTTAATTTCTTAATTATTATGAATTTATTAAATACAAATACAATCGTTGATATATAGAGTTTTGTGTAATTTAGTCTAACAATATCGTTCTCAATTTTCGGGTAATAAATATCAAATTAATTAAATAGAGCGTATTGAAATGGAAAGTTTTATGATTCAGAGAAATGTGTTATTAGGTAATATTTACATTTAGTGAGTACTTATCTGATAATTTAGTGGAATACTTTAAGATTCGGGAAAATATTTTGTTAATATTTCCCTTTAGTTATATTTGTATAATATTTAATTTTTTAGAAACTTAGTTTGTTTACCTTTTTTGTAAATTCTATTGGATCGGTGTACCTACATGTGCAAATGGTGTTCCGTAGAAAAATGATTTTGTGTTTGAGATTGACTTATTATATATATATCAAAATATAATCACTTTGAAGACTGGCAAAGTCAAGTTATTTAGCATTCCAGTTAGTATGGTATAAAAATGGGTTATTACTTATCTAAATGTAGTAGTAAGTAGTGAAAGGAAGCCTATTTACTGAACAATAATTAGGCTTTAATGTATTATGTCCGTTATGTATGTTAGTCTATAAGGTATTTATAACTTTATAAGGATAGATTAAGGCTTCCTATGGATCGGATACGCGCGCGTGTCCCTGATGTTTCAGGCCCTCAAAGGCTACGGTACCGTTTACCATTAGACGGGCCGTATGCTTGTCTACCATTAGTAACCAGAAATAAATATAAATATATTAAAAATAATTGCATATATATGCAATTTAATTTTGTGATGGTTTATCGCTACAATGTATATTAAAAGATTTGATCATGCTTCTAATTACCCCATATAATATAATAGTTGTGATGATATTTTTTTATTATATCAAAGTAATTGGATTATAAAGTTAAAAATTTTCCTAAGGGAAATTACATGAATTTTGAATTCGGCAGTTTTATATAACTAAAAGGGATTCTATTAACGGAATAAGCTCCGGTCGAGTGAGAGAAAGGGCCCAACAAAGAACCTGATATTATATTAATGAGATAAAAAGGTATGCGGCAGACACACTCGGTATATTTATAGCTTAGGATTTGCTTTTAAAATCGGTTTGAATAACTGATATTTAATTTAATGCGAGTGTTTTGTTTAGTAGATCGATAATTACATATATGTAATTATAAATACGTTTTATAAAACGTAGTTATAGTATATAACAATAGGATTAGAGAATGTTGTGTTGTGTTCACATATATGAATTACGCCCAAGAGATCGCTAGTTGAAATTAGATCGACATAAAAAAACATTGTATGTGTATCTGTGTATAAAAGAAACACCGATATCAAACCAAAAACTAGTCCTAGAGACCGGAGTAACCAATTGAATGCGCACTCCGTGTAGTAAAATGTATTTACGTAAGATTCCGAGTTTGTTCAATATTAATAAAAACTTTTACTTATATTACTGATACTTATTCAAGTACCAAAAAAAACTTAGATTTATATTGTACCATAATACCGAAATTAGCTATATCTACCTTCAGCCAGATAATGCCTGAGGCGACAAAACAATGAAGCAATGAAAATACCAGTATAGCTTCACATTTGATCATGTCAAAATTAAAAATCTTCACTTACTTGTATTTTATTAAAGGAGGACTTATTTAAGTTATTTTATTACACAATTTATCTTACTTACATACAGTCTATTTGTACAATATATTTGCTATATTGTTCAATTAAACTATCGCCCATGGATGTAAAAATTATACCGTTATTTTGATATGTTAATTATAGATTTGACAGCCTCGGCAGCCTAGCGGTTTGGTGTACCTCTTTGTATCAGACGATCGCGGATGCGATTCCTTGCACGGTATAAACATTTATATTCATGAGTATAATTGTTTGTATCGGTCTGTGTATTTTCTATGTTATTATGTATCTATTTATAAAAAAAGATATCTAAGTGTCTATATTAGTTATTTAATAACCATAACACAAATTATACTTAGCTTGGGACTAGACTGGACTGTGTGAATTGTTCAGGTTTATTCTTATTAGATTAATAATTACATTAGATTTTTTTATTATGTGATCGGAATGGCATACTGGTCAGTTGCCTTTTTGGTATGTGGTAACGTTCACTCATACACATGATCAGTATCACGCTATCATCAGAATGTGACCCCCATAGTACTTCTTAGGTTGAGATTCCGGAGAACTGAGTTATCACACCTCCGTACTCTGTAATGTCAATTTCAAGGTGTAAGTGATTTAAAAACTACGCAGACAATTTTCGATAAACAATAATTCGGTAAAAATAGAACATCCAAATAGAAAAATACGGCTTAGAATATCGTGATACGTATATACTAAGCCGAATAATATAAACCACAATAAATTAAATTACAGACTCGTGAGTCCAACTCAGTGGTCGGGACAAATAAAACTACGTCCGCACTTACCCTTAACTTGACGTTACGATGTCCGCCACTGTCTCTAATGGAAAGAGACGGTAAGCAACTGCATATTGTCCACTTTTTCAGCAAAATCATCGTTTGTGATCATCAGGATTTGACTAAGATGAAGTCCATTTTAACTATTGTATTTTTAACGGAGCTGACGTTTAAGAACTTTGTCCGCTCGCGGATTATTGTTTCAGATAATCCATCTAAATCTATGTGCCTTTGTCCGTGGATTTAGGATATAAGATGGCACATAGATTTAAGTTATAAGGTTAGTTCAGCTGGATTGTCGTGAAAATATAACAAACAGACAGACTGTCACATGATATGATTATTGGTTGATTGGTTTTACGCGTGAAAAATCTATAAAAGAAAATAAAAAATCTCCTGTTTGATAATTCTTTTAACTCATTGAATTAACATTCAATAAATTAAAAGAGTTAATTAATTGATTATTATTGATATCTGACTAAAAACTGATCACGTATTATTATGAAAAGGCGTAATTTCTATTTTGTAAATTCGCGAGTAAAACTATTCAATACAATGGTTGGAACAGCTATTTTTTCGTCAGTGTGAATGAACTTAGTGTTCATCTCAAACTCTCGTAGTGTTGTATTCGTAGTTCAAACAAATGATATAATTTATTATGAATTGTATGCCTTTCTTGTTTACGCTAAGTTCATTTGATATGTCTAAATCATCGTTGTTAATAGTTACTTCTTCCACACAGTCCCACCTCAATTAATATTATATTAGTGTACCCTTGTAGTAAAAATATCAATTATTTTTTAATATTGTACTTTATTACATAGTACCTAATTGGACTCAAAACAATGACATTGTGTACTCTAACTAAGAGTGGAACGAAGGAGTAGGCATATATCACGTCCAATTAGCAAAGCGCATTACCTACCTAAATACACGAGTGACTATGTTATATACAAAAATTGTCATATTACAATGTGTCAAAGAAACAAAATCTATATTACATATCCGTTTATTTGGAAATAAAGGCCTAAAATTAAATTTAAGGTACATGGTGACAACATTATTATTAAAGAAAATTGCACGCACTTGTCTATATAAATTACTAAAATTAATTAAATAATACCCGATACATTTTATAGATGTTTAGTATAGATCATTACCAAAGTTAAGTAATTTCAAAACTATCAATTTCAGAAATTCTGTTGTCTTACATTAGCTTTGAATTGATAATCAATACGACACACGTTATCGAATACCCACTGAATAGTTTATGGGAACTTACCTCAGACTCAAGTAATTGGAAAAGTTATGGTCGTAAATGTCCATCAAACTGGTTACAATGTAAAGACACATTTAAAATTTAGATAGAAATATGCTATGTTACCTTAACAGTGGTCTTAAATTTTCATTCCCAATCGAGATGACATTTTTCCAATTATGAATAATAGAGGATAACGTTTAGGATGTAGGCATTGTTAGAAATCTGTTTTGTTGCCATGTTTCCTTACGACAACCTTTTATTTTTCCCCAGAGATATACGCTAAACACGTTTCATGTTGAGTTCGCTATGAATCTCATTTATCTGCAGACGACCTTTAGCGAAAAGAATTACTTTGAGAAAAATCACCTTCAGAATGCCTGCCTTCACCTGCCTTCACCTGCATGAATCTACTTTTAGTATAGAATACTGGCATGTATGTACGAAAACACTAATGTAGGTATACTAAACAACTACAGAATTTAGCTATATATATGCAGTTTTATGATAACCAACTGTACTTTAGCTTTGTGCCAAGGAAGCACCACAGGAACAAAATAAACAGTAACGCAATGAAAATACCACATAACATCGATAAAAATTTTATTGGATAAAAGACGACTAGTAGTCGCCTTTTTCTATTAAGCGTACGTTTCTCCCAACGTCTTCTCCATAATTTTCTGCTATATGATAAAGTTTTAATTGTTTTAATGGTAACACTGGATTACAAGACACAGATTGTCGAACGAGACGGGGCAGGGTCAGGCGCGCGGTGGGAGATTGCACTCGGCGTGGAAAGCGCGCGCCTCTTGATCACAAATATAATTCTCTATCTAACAATAATTTAATATTTTGATTCGCTAATATCAAAAAATTTACAATGAAAATAGAATTTACTCTAAAAATAATTTTACGCGAAGCACGCGTCGGTCGTGAGTCGACTCAGGACGACCGGCGCAGGCGCGTAGTCTATCACATTGAAAGATTCATAAAGTATTGGTACGTAACACGATCGTACCTACTTCTCACTCGTTCTTTAAGAAACGAGCCTGTATTTGACAACTATAGGTAATTAATAATTTACAAGAGTTTTAAACGCTGTAATTGCGTCTACACGAAAAGGTCTTTTAATGATGAGCAAAGAGTCGCATCGCAACCCTCCGCCGGTTCCTCCTCCTCGGGCCTGTTTGTATACCAGCGCTCTCCATCAGAACGTCCCGCAGTACGGCTTGTCCCTGGAATGTCTCGAGGTTTCGTTCGAACCTCGCCAATCTCCTTTACAGTAGTTATACCTGAAGAAGAGGAGCCGGGATCGCCAGCCACGGCACCGCTCTTTCTAAGAAACACTTCTATTGCACTTCCGAGTGCACTGGCATCCACAACCGACCCTGATGGTTTATCCCAAACTACGGCAGCGACATCGCCTTGTTTCGAATCAGGAGCAAAGGTGACTTTTCCTTTTTTTGCCTCGCTTTCCTTCTTTTTAGTAGCTAATGTTTGGTGTCGTCTAGTGAACCATGTGGTACCAGAATCTGTGGGGTTATCTCGGAGAGTGGAGGCGTCGAAACTGACAGAGCGCATATCAGCTAGGCGTCTGGTGCGTTCAGGTTTGCCGCAGCGATCTATTTCTGTGGCAGACGACGTGAGAGCGTTGAGCATGAGATGGAGATCTGTGTCTGTGCATACGACGCCAGCACCAGAGCGCGGTGGAATGGGCGGTGCTGGAGGCATCTCAGACGCGCGGCGACGTGCGGGTATCGGCGGCAGAGGTGAACCCACGAAGTCAGAATGTCTACGGCCACGGTTTGTGTATCTTACGGAGCCGCTGATGGGCGATCGCTCGTCAAGAGGTTGTACTTCGCACACACGCTCGTTAGATGTATTCCATAAACGCATACGCACTTTGCGAGCTTGAACAATATCATCCATAATATCAAGCTGCAGATTATGAGTACTGCCAAGTGTATCAGTGGCCGGTGGACCTGTGATAAAGATATATTGAAAGACTACCATGGAAGTATAGATATTCAACCCAATAATGATGTTTTATTTAATACACACATATGTTTAATATATCTTAATGCTGTGTCAAAAACAGCCAAATGTACATCGTTAGCTTGTAAATGAATTGATAATGAAAAAGGAAAGCCCGAGTCTATTCCAATATTTCAAATTGCGGTGAGCGTTGATTAATTTTAATTAAAATCAGAGAAGAGCTGTTATTCGTTATTTCTGCATTATAACCTATTATTTTCAATTAAATTTGTAAGAGTAGAATTTCATATTAGCGAGTTATATAAGTAGGTACAATATGATAATGGCATGTCTGTTTAACGTTTTAATGGATAGTTTGTTTAATTTTAATAATTCTTTTCTTCGCTTTCAAACAATACAAAATAATCCATTTTATTTAAATTTACCCAATACAATAATATAATAAATGGCAAAAATTTTTAAATGTTATTATTTAAATTAATTAATTATATATAGTAGTAAAAAGATCATATCAGAATCAAAATCTATAATATAACTTACATTTTTTGGAGCCAGAGTCTCTACGGCGAGATAAAGCCGGAAATGCAGCTATAGACTCACGGCGACCCCGTCCAAACAAAGCTTGGGGCACTCGCGATATTGTTACTACGGAATGTCTGAGGGCAAGCGAAAACATTAGTAAAATATTATTTACACTTTATTTATGTACAATTCACATATTCTCAATTTTTCATTTTACCTTCGGCCGCCTGGTTGTGGCGTGACTTGGCTTAGAGTAGCCAGAAACGCGGCTTCACGTGCTTCCCTGGCAGCGCTTTCACCCCGCTCAGACAGCCTCCGGACCTGGTAGGTAATCGGAAAATTAAAAGTTTGAACATGTCATACGTTATCCTTCTAAAGATATTAACAAATGTCAATAAATGAAAATTGACAATATTCTAAATCCATTTATAATAGGTATAAAATAAATACCTCAGGATAATACCTATACAAGTAAAACTTGTGCAAAGACAATAATAGATAACTAACAAAAATACTTAAACACAATTCTTACTTCAAGTTTTAACTATTTAAACACTATTATTTCAAGTTCTAAATAAATTAAATTACATTTATAGTTTATTTTCAACTGGATAATAAGCAAGTATTTTAAACAATTATGGTTAGTTTTTTTAAGAAATAGCGATGTAGAAAATAAGCAAAAATCTTCTTAAAATCATCTCAATTGATAATCCACTATAATATTAATTAGTTTTTTTATATGTAATAATAATTTAGAAATTGTATATTTGTTTGTATGAAATATATATATATTATATATAAAATTAAAATACGCCCCTTATACATTAAATATTATTTCTTATGTATTTAAGAAGGGTGTTATTTTTTTATACCTGGCTAGCTGTAGGTCCGGTGGTGCACGATGGGGTTGGCAGTGAGTGCTTGCGTGTATCACGCCATGGGGACAGATGATAAGGGTCCGGAGGTGACTCCTGATCGACGGAGAGGCCGCGAGCTGGTGCATACGAGCGGGGAGAGGACTCTGCGTCCTCCGAGCCACTTTCTTCCACCACGATCAGCGGCTCGCCGCCCCCGACCATTGCCATCGACCCGCGCCGCATCATTGCTATCAACATTCAACATCAATTTTACTAAGTCAAGTGAAACTACTATGTTATTAACATATTTTTATACTTTTTATAGTTAATTTTAATAAGGTGTGTAAAAAGACATAGACATAGTAGTTTTTATAATAGTAATTAATTTAATTAGTTTTTATAATAGTAATTAATTTAATATAATTAGAGCTAATATATTAATAACATGCGGTTTGTAATATATCAGTTAATGTACACTACATAGTTGTAGTATATTAACAAACAACACATTATTACAGTAATAAACGAACTCAATCTTTAGGATAAAGCTCATCACACTGTATTGTGTATTGTATGACTAGAAGGCATAATATAATCTTATATACAATATGGACAATAGTATTCCACGAGGGCTAACAATATCAAATGAGAATATTTTCTTGTTTCGTACTTTTTAGGGAGTGATTTTCCAGTAGTTGGGTTTTATTCTTTGAGGTATAGATAAATGTATAAGGAATATATTTTGTGGTCATTATTTTATAATGATGAGAAAATAAAAAAGAAATCGTAAAATTTATTATTTCAGCATTTCGTCTGTAAAAGAACAGAAAACTTGAATCTTTTTGTATATCTGTATGGTCGACTGTTTATAGTATATAGTTATTATCTTGTGTAATTTTATGAACACGAGAACATATGCAGAAAATGTATATTTTCCCTGCGAATAAACAACACCAATTAGGCTATAATTAGCACGGAATCAAGACGAGAGCAAACTGATGAAGTTATTGAGTAATATACACAGGAATATTTTTGTATACAGGTGCGTAATGCCATGTGTTGAATATTTCAACATTAATTAGCTGGCTAGTTTCTTACTCATTTCATGGAAAAAATACAGTAAGGTCAGAGAAGATAAGAATTGAAAACATTTTCAGTAATTATATAAAACTAAACTAAAATGATAACATTAGTTTGAACGTCAAAATAATAAATGCACTTTATATTTTATTAAATTGGCAGAAGGAATGAGACTAATTATATAATTACCTTCTTTATTCTTGCAGAAAACAATGTTAATTATAAGGACACATAAAATAGAATATATTATTATTTTAAGGAACACATATTTATTTTCAACTTTATTCTAATAATGAGTTGCTCGCTCAGTTTCTCACAAATAATGTTTAATTCAAGGTTGCGTCGGCTCAATATCAATTGATTAAAGATCTAGATAAAATCTAAGAACTTTCAGTATTGCTATATACGTTCACTTAACAAATAAAATCCTTATTTATCTACTTTTAAACAATCCAGGATTGATAGCATTAAATGTACTTAATGGAAGTTAGTAAGCGGGAGTATTTAAATTTAAACCGTTTACGAAAGTCCGAATCAGCCCCTTAATTTGTCTTTACTTATTAACCGTCAACGTTTATTAATTTGTAATCACTTTTATTAAGTTGGAGAAATTGGAAGTAAATAATTTAATTTCTATTTATCTTTTTGGGAAAATTTATCGCGCTTTGTACAATTCCATTTGTATTTAACTTAAAAATTATTTGGTGTACAATGGATAGTCTTTTTATGATGCAAATGGCAGAGTAATTGTAATAATATCGGTACCGTTTATGTTTTCAACAATTAAGCGTAATATTTATATTAAAAAATCTTTTTTTTTATAATTCATAAATAACTAACAGAAAAGGTTCAGAATTGGCAAAGATACTGTAACATATAATGAGTTAGATTTAAGAACTTTTTTGTTTTTCAGTTAATCGAAGTGAAATATTTAACCGAGTCATAATTAAACGATTTTGCTTATCTTAAGTTTTTAGATAAAAAACAAATGGTTTAACAATGAAAATGTATGATAATGTAAATACGTATTACTGTAGCTGTTCATTAACGTGCTATATGCCTGATCATAAAATTAAAGGTAAGGTGAGTGTGTATACTACAGAGTACTTTTTGTTAACAAAAATCGTAAAATTTGCAACAAAATGGAGAGAAAGCCTAATTTAGTGAAAGGTAAACAATTATAAATATTCCATGAAATAAATTTAATTATTATTCCGTTTTTATATTATTTATATATATATATATATACTGAGGGAATGAATAATTAAAATTTTTAATGCATTCATTTCAGTATATGTGAATTTCTATATATTTGATAATTTAATTTAAGGCATTTGGGAATTCGTTTCTTTACCTTTAGAATTTATAGAATTTATTTAGAACAGAATTTATAAAATCGTTTTGATTTGATATAGTACATATGTATGTAATACTATCTTATCTGTGATGGTATCTCTATGTAATACTGTAAGTATTTTCCTTTTCTAAACAAAAGCAGATCACTTCATCACATGAAAAGGTTAAAGCTTAAGAAATATATCAGAAATAACATATTAATATTAACATTAGAAGTAAAATACAAGAAAGTTAAAGTTAATTTTAACAAAATAAAAATAAAACCTCATTTTGTTTATACAAACTTACTAAAACGAATCGGTAAACAGTTAAGAAATTCAATTTTAACACGAAAATAACATTAAAAAACTGGGAGAGACTAAAGTAAGTTTCTACAAAACATCAAAAGGTTAAAGATGTTTCTATATCATCTGATATTTAGAAAACAAAGTACATACAATCTACGTTGTTAAAATTTTTCTTGTTTATTTGTTGGAATGTTATGTGTGTACCCAATTGTGTCCTGTGCAAATATATTGTCAATCAGTGTATCCTTATTCTGGGTTGTTTGACGGGCATTGTCAAGAAAGATTAACGCCCTGTTTAAACAGGTCTCTTTTAACACTTGAAATGTGTATTTGTGTTACCCTTAACAATTTTATTGACTATAATAAAGTACTATTTTATGAATTTATTTTGAATTTGGGTAAAAAATAAATTTAAAATAAGTAAAAATTTACGTTATTGTGAAAATAAAGTAGGACATAGATATGCGTAGATCTGAATGCAGTGCGTAATTGTTACCACACCATAGTTCTCCTTTATTGTACGATGAATATGGTTGCAAGTATGATGCGATATGTGTATATTGTTATTTTTTATTCGTAACATGAAAGGATTTATATATCAATTTATCTCGTATTGAGTCTTTAAAATTAGATTTATATCATATTTAGTGGCATATTTTCTAGTAATATTTTTATATTCGATCTAATTAAATTGGTTTTAATTAGTTTGAAATGTTGCGTATCTATTCTTTTACCTTCTTTATAAAAATATAAAATTTACTTGATGGCCTCGGTAGTAGTTTCTATTCAAATAATTGTATTTTCTATTTGCGCTGGATGTTTTTTATTTAACGTGTTTTAGTTCTTATTTTTCCGAGTTGGTAGTAGTTTCTATTCAAATAATTGTATTTTCAATGTGTTTTGTTTGTTTTGAATTTGAATTATTTGCACCGGTCTGGATGTTTTTTATGTGTACCTACTTACATTTTGTTGAAAAAATTTGAAGTATTTTTCAGAATATAACTTTGGCAAGGTATAATTTTTTTTAGAGCACATCAATTAATATTATCCTGGAGTATTCCTGGAGATAAGTAATGCGTCCGCTAAATACACAATGAAGTATATATATGAATTAGTCCGCTAGGTACCTATATCACTATCACCTTATTGTAATAGATATTATTTTTCGTATAAGATATATGTAAACAACGCATTGAAAATATGAAATAAAATATTTCAGAATCATTTACATAAAATTGTAATAACTATTTTTGTCCACCTCTTAAATCCTATTTATTGTCGAGATTGTAATGAAAAAGTAATTGTACCTATTTTCTTTTTTAATAATGAGTGCAAAGTAACTTAGAGGAAGAACTAAATAGGATGATACATTTGGGTGTAAATAGGATGATACACAAAAATATTATTTTGCGTGGTTTAGAAAAATTACCCATTTAAGAAAAGTAGCTTTTCTGAATTTCTCGGTTTTTGAAAATTTTCCAGAAATATTTCACGCGAAAATAAAACAATTACTTGAAGGCTTAGAGGGGGTAGATTCATTTATTGACGATATAATTTTTAGGGTTCGTTGTTTAGCAGGGCTCGCAAAATTAAACAAAAATGACAAAAACCCTTTAAATGAGGACTGTTGTTCATATGTTTCTCATAAAGCGGAATATATCAGAAACTTTAATGTATGCTTCTATAATAGTGATAATAGCGAAATTATAAATGACTGCTATCTCATTTAATTTCTAAGATAATACCTGTTTTAACAGTAAAATAAGGAAGCTCTATTGTTTAATGGAGTTTAATTAATCTAGTGTTTTCAACGGTTAATTTCTATACACAGAATAGGAAAAAACCAAAAACATTCAAATATTCCATGAACTTGAATTAAATAAATCTTATAGTAACAACATAATACTGTACTAATTACATAGAAGGGCAATTCAAATAATACGGAACGGTGTAGTCGCTGTTATTGCTCGTTTACACATAACTCAAATAACTTAAACTTAATTTAGCTAACTTCTGTAATTTGTACTGAACCCTCGAATCTCCGAGGCTTCCGTGCAAGTTACATAAAATAAATAGAAATAATAATTTTATAATTTATGTTTAAGTCTCCATATTACTGATGGCAGAATGTGTTTGTATGTTATGATTTAGTTATTGTGTTTATTTTTATTTTAATTACTAATGTTAACATAAATAGTATGTAGTAATTGATTGTTAATAACTACTAACTAAATGAATAAATTCATTTTATTATTAGTATTGTAATTCATAGTTTGTATTATATACTTTAGTAATAGTATAGTTGAATAAGATTATTAATTCAAGTTAGTTATTTCTATTTTTATAAGATTGAACGGTACTTAGATATGTTCTAATTATAATATTTATAATTTATGTGTTATGTTTTAAGATTATCACAGAGAAACTATTAAATATGCAGCCAGAAAATAAACTGTGCCTACAAGGTTTCATTTACCTTTTGGTATAGGTATAAACGTCTAAAGATTGTAAGAAATATGGCAGAG